ACAATCGTAATCCTACTTCGACTACTTCATTATTTGTTAATTTTGATAATTTGGATGTATTTTGGAGATTGATTGAATATATTTCCAAATCACCTAAGTCCTCACTAGTCGTAGGGCTCGGTAAGAAGATAAGTTGTTCTTCAAATGAAACATATAGTAATTGACTGATTGAAAAGGATAGATGTCGAATAAATTTTCTTTTAACGGGTAATGAAAGGTTGTTTAAATTCAAATCAATACGATAGATTGAACAACTATGAATAAACTGCATCTTTTCTCGATATGGAACAGCATTTTTCCACTCATGTTGATACAATATATTTTGTTTATAAAATGACCAAAAACTTTTAGTAGCTATATAAAGAGATGAATCATTATTAGACCATGTGAAAGTTAAAAATATATGTTTTTCAATTTTAATAGGCAATAGTTTATCAGATATCAGAGAATATAGATAGATACGTTGGAGAAATAAATCATTAATGGAAGGACGACCTGTCACGTTTCCCAATGAATAAGATTTTAATAATAATGCAATATAGTTACCGCTAGGCGACCATTTTGCTTGGATTGGTATAAAAGTATTTGTTGCAATTAACTTTTTTGTTTGTTTTTCTATGTCATAGAGCCACAAAGCATGTTGATAAGAACTTGTATTCCATGATGGACATATTGTTTGAAAAAGTAAATGTCGACCAGTTGGAGAAAATTCCAATAATGAATATCTAGTATAATCAAAAAATTCATCGAAGGTTAATCTTGGTTTAGTTTCAATGGAAAAACATGAAAATAATTGTAAAATCAAGAGTAAGAATATTTTCATTAACATCATTACCATTGTCTAAGCAAAAAAAAACAAAATCGAACAATATTATCGAAGGTAAATATCAATGATGTAGCTATCTTTCGATGAAAAAAAAAATAGAACATTCTCTTGATGCATATCATGATTTTATTATTTTCATAGTTCTATCTACAGATACCATAAATGAAATCTGACTGGTTGAAAAAAATTACAAACAAGTTTTATTGATGAAGATGATTTAGTAGGATAGATATCAATAAAGTCAAAACATAATGAGGAAACATAATACTGCTAACTATGACAAAACTGAAGGATTATGTTCTCAACAAAATGATAGAAATAGTTACTGGACATAAGCTGTAATTATCCTTACCGAAAAAGAGAAAAATATTAGCAATAATAGTAAATGAAAACAGTATCATCGATGCGTTATTCATATGAGAGATAAAGTTTTCCTTAACACTTTTTGTGCTACATTTGATCCGACAAATAGAGATGTTATCTATGTAAACTATGCTCTCATTTTTTTTCTTTATCTTCTAAGTTATCTCTGCCTCCTATATGTTCCTTTCATATGTTCTGTATACCGATAATAACAATTACCACCATCTAATGACATACATGCTCTTATAGATGATTTTTTGTTCGATGAGATTTCTTCCATCAAAACATATGAGTTTTTTATGTCAATGGAATATGACCCTATCTTTAGATTTCGATGATTTATATGATGACAGTAAACAAATCAGATCAAACAGACGTTCTGCCAGCAACACAAATGGTACACAATTTTACTTAGAGAAAGAGTATGAGTGTTAGCCTTCTATTCATCAACAAGCCCACTAACATTCAGATCTATATTCAACATACACACCAACACCTTATCGAATATAAGTTGAAATGAAAAACTTGTTGAAGAGTTTATTTAAAATAAATCTCTCATATTATCTCATAAGATATATTTCATACAAAGCAAAATAAAATAGCAGTTGAATGATTATTGAATATAATATTTCTTTTTGTTAAATAAATATTTTTTATGTTCTCTTTTATGATTATTAAAAAACAAACCATTAATCTATAGTTAATTATCATCAATTTTATTTTCAAAAATCAAAAAAAAAAAATCTAAAGAAAACAAGAAATAATTTTCATTCTGTACTGATTGTTTTTGTCTTAGATAGCAAAAAAATTATTTTGAGGGTATGAGTGTTGAATAATACTTACACACACCCCTACCCACCCACATCCACATCCACACCCATAGAGATTTTTTTGGAGACACAATAAGCTATTATTTTTATCCTTGTTTGATTCGTATCTCCGTTATGCATCAGGATAGAAGGCTGAAAATTTTACCATAGACATCGTTTTACAGTCCTAACATATCCTCAAAGTTTCATGACGATTAGATGTTCCCGAGTTGAGATCGATTTTTGAGGAGGTGTGACCTTAAATAATATCATCTAAGTTCTTTGCGATCGAAATCTATTTAGTACCATATTTTCTCACTTACTAATCACATTTATTCACTATAAAATAAGAGAAAGTCAATAGAGAACATTTATTGTTTTATTTAAAAACTATTGTCTGATCAAGTCGAGAAAAAATAATCGTTGACTTGCTAATTTGAACTATTCTAAATAAGACTTTGATGTTTTTACATATTTATCTTGTATTCTCTACAGGCTCAAGTTCTAGTAATATTTTATTAAAGAAACGTCAGAATTGAATAAAAAATTTAATATAAGATATTGTCTAACAATGCTAGTAGTAATATTGCTGCATATTAATCTACAGAATAAGATGAATTACTTCTATTTTTTTCATAATAAGTCATCTAATCTATGAAACTATTTAAAAGTCAATTTAATCAAAAATCTATTATATTTATTTTGTAATTCATACATCTCAATAAATTTTTTTTCAATTCAATGTTATTTTCTTCTATGCAGGATAATAATGATGAAACAAATCAAAATCAAAATCATTGGATAACCATGATCGAGAGAAAGAAATTTGACTTTATGCAAAATATTAAGTTAATCATAGTGATCACAAATATTGGTATCATAACTTTCCAAAATATGTCTTATTGTCTTAGTTCTCTTGGAATAATGCACAATTTTTAACTCAGATAAAACTGTAAGAGTTCAGTATAATCTGTCAATTACTATTTTAATAATTTTTTCAGCTGAATAATAAAACACTAACAGCACGTCAAAAAAAAATTAATATTTAATCAAAAATCTTCTGTTTTCTGCATTATTGATTCATTTTTTTCCCATTCTAATCAGCATAATGATTGTTGTTTTTCTCATTTTTGCTGTAAACAATATGAAAACAGTGTAATTCAGTATCTGGCAAAAAAGCCCTTATTTTTTTCGCACGTATTTTAAAAAGGAAAAAAGAGAACGTGCTTGTTGGAGAATGGCATGAAAGTTTACTTAAATATTTGCGTGATAATAAAATATAATATTTGAGTAATCCTGGCAATTTTAAGATTAAAATTATCATACTCGTTCGTTTGTAGGATAGTCAGCATAATCATTATAGCATAGAAATCTACTGATCTGTCTGTTGAGCTTATCAATTTTTCAATAGGACCTTTCTAATTTCGATCATCATAGCGCGGGAAAAAAGATTTAATAATTTTAGTAAAAACTGTTAGCATAATCCATTCCGGGATTAAATATGTGAAACACGATGTAACTACTGTTTCAAATCTTCTAAATAACTATTCCTTTCTATATATATTAGGGTATATTACTTCACTATGGATTATTTTACATTTTATAGTTCAAATAGAATAATATTCCATATATATTCTAATTCATATGTTAGTTATGCATTGTCTATGATAGTTGCTTGAAGTCTTCTATCATGACCTCCGGAGCTCGGTCCGCGACGGGAGGGAGCGGTTCAAATTACTATCCCTAAACACTTCAACATACCCTGCAGATCGTGTTTCACAAAAATGAAATTATCCTTTATCAATTCTGATCTTTTTAAATCAAAATCATTTTTTCATATTTTCTGTGACTAAAAATTTTGACATGTTAGGATGATACGATATGCATACATTTACAGTGTGTTTTCGGTTGAATATCAAATTTTTCAATGTGATATTGACGTTTTTGTTTTTTTATTGCATTGAACAACTTATTCAGATAGATCTTGAGGAATTATACCTAGTTGCTACAGTTTCGATAGTCAAAAATTACACTTGAATTCTTAAATCAAGATTTAGTTGACATTCCCAATAGCTAATAAAATGTAAATTTTGAAATTCCAAATACAAGAGTCATAATCTCGATATCTGTATTCTTTACAAGAATCCATATATATAATTTTCAGTGTGTGTGTTTCTCTGTCCAATCAAAGGTCAAGAAAAGCTATAAAGAGAAGGTGTCACGGACTGCTATATTAAAGTACCCATAAGTCCTCAAGAACTACTATATGAAGGTATCCATAGATCCTCAAGGGAGCAAGGCAATAAGAACATAAGACTATAAGGACTATAAAAATTTGTGCGACATAAGAGTATGAAGCCGCAGGGTTTTCTATCTATGTAGATAATATCGAGTGTCTGTATGTCTGTTACTAAATGTAAAATTGAACTTCTCAGCTCATACGTTAAAGAAGAAAACAACCGTTCAATATGCATGGGCTCTCGCTAGTTATTTAGATAATTTTACCTAGAAGTAAGTATAATTTAAGGTACAAAAGAACTTTTGAGAAATGAACAAATTACCTTAGAGTTGATATGAAAAAGATCATTGTTCTTACGATTATCCGTTTCAAAATAGAATGTCTTCTACTGTTTTCTGAATAACTTGAGAAGGCAAGTAGCTCAAGATTCGCGGTTTTCACCAATCGAATGAGGAGATCGGAAAGTAACCTGCCATCTAGATGAACTTTTTATTTTGACCTTTGGTTTAGATACAGGGACTTCAAATCTATATTTTAAGATACAATACAAATCAGTTCTCTTATTACATTCTAACATTGAGCAAATTAAATCATGTATTTACATGCGCAGATAATAAGGATTTTTGTTTATTTTTTACTTTTTATCATAATAGCTTGACATTTCCATGGGAATGTAATGAAAAATAAGGAAGCGCATTATCTCTTGAACTATAGATTTGAAGTTCTTCTATCTAAATCAAAGATCAAAATCAAAATTTCATCCGAATGACAGGTCATTTTTATGTCTTCTTTTACATGTTTTACAAAAATAGTTTTAAAAGAATTTCCTCTTATACAATATTGAAGAAAAAAACGTTTCCCGGTCTTTTCATTTCATTGGAGAAAACCACGAATATTGAGCTACTTGCGTTCTTAAGTTATTCAGAAAATAGTAGAAGACATTCTATTTTGAAGTGAACAATAATAAACAGAGTATTCGATTATATAGGTAACCAAATGCCTACGTCTATTAGTATACTTGCAAACAGATGAAAGAAAAGTAACTTCTAAAGAATGTGATTTGGTTTAGGTACAATCAAGTATTGCTGAATATAGATACTGCCACACAAATGCAAACAGAAATTAACATGAATAGTTCAAATTTGAACACTGATTCTAATCTACCACCAAGATATGATATGATTAATCCAACGGTGCCAACATTGGAGAATCAGCCATTTCCTTCAAATCACATATATGGCCAACAGGCTATACCTATGCAAGGAGTTCCGACACAGCCAATAAGTGTACTTCATAATGTATTCATAATAACAAATCCAGCAATAAACATTAAGGACTACATGGGGTGGTCTATTTTTAATCTCTTGTTTGGTGTTATTTTCTTTGGTTTAGTTGGAGTTTTGCTTTCTAATAAAGTTCGTGATAGAAAGAGAAATGGTGATATTGATGGTGCAAGAAATTTATCAAAATGGACAGCTATATGGAATACCTTTAGTACCTTAGCTGGAATTGGCGCTACAATTGGAATAATCATTTATGTGATCGATTACAACAAGACACATTAGTGTCATTAATTCATTTTATTGACTCGAGAAACCACGTTCATCACGCTATACTATTTTGCCTTCAAAAAAACAATTTTTAATTTATATTCATCACTTCATATATCTTAAGTTAAGCATTGACTAACAACTATACAACATGAATGAAGTTTTGATTACCTATTAAACGATTATCTAAAATAAAAACAATAGTTACAGAGAACTGCAAGTTTTCAGATTCATTCATATGATCTGTTATATTCTCAATTAATTCTATTGCAGATTACAGAAAAAAAGCAGAAATAAAATTTTTAAGTAATATGATCTCTTTGTTTTATAAGTTTATATAAAATAAAGAATATTCGATATTAAGAAATGATTCATGAATAATATACATATACCTGCGAAACCACATGTAAATGAACAATAGATTAAAGACAAAGAATAGAATGATGCTGGTGCAAAAATAGGACTATTTTAATAGTGATATATATTATTCATTGAAATCAAGTTTTTGACATGCTGTCATTCATCAAGTTAGTATATAAATTATGATGAAAATGATAAATAATTCACCTTTACTGATTTTCGAAAAATGACCACCCATCAACAAACAATCATTCAGCTGCATTTCAAATTATAATTCTCATAACGATTCTTTTAATTCTATAAGCCACTGCTGAATTATAAAATATCCTGTGTTCCGAAAAATTATTTCAATGCACCGTATTCTACATATATCTCATCATAAATAAATGAATAAAAGTTTGATTTTTGTTTTAAAAGATGCGTCATCGGAAACTCTACAAAATCTCGATGAGTGAATTTCCACTGGAAAATAGAAAATATCTTCCAAAAGTTTTTATTATTTTAAATACGGTGGGATGTAGCATGAATATGTAGGCATTCCATTTTAAATATAGGAAAAACATCCAAACACATTGGTAGGGAATTGGTTCGGCATTTTTTGTAGAGTCTTTCATAGTGCATATTTTGAAAAAAAAATCACATTTTTTATCATTTATTCATGATGAAATATATGCTAAATACGGTTCGTTGCGATAATTTTGCGACACCTACTATATAGATAGAATAGTAAAGATGTTCAAAATTGATTGCATGATCGGAGTAGTGCATTTTATTGTTTCCCAATGTATTCATCATCAAACTAAATACATTACTGGCCAGAAGTCCCTGAACATATGAAACTTCGAGTGAAAATCAATCGTTTTCCATGATATTTTTAGTAGAGATGCAGCTTGAAAAACTGTAATCGTTAGTATCAATCCGAGCTCGAATACGCTGAATAAAAATAGAGTTATTCAGTTCGGTAAGCGTAAATTCGATATTTAAAGAATTTCTCAACCTGATTCATTCATTATTTCAAACTTTCTGCTTGTTATGTTTCTGAATATCACGAACTTCTTCTTAATTACCGTTTTTTTAAGCTGCGTCTCTAGTAAAAATATCATGGAAAACGATTGATTTTTACTCGAAGTTTTATGCGTCCAGGGACTTCTGGCTAGTAGTATATTTGATATTTAAATCAGCTGTTTTTCAAATTATCTCTGAAAAAAAAGAAAGTTTACTTGAAAAATCAATCTATTATTAGAGTATTTAAAGAATTTTTTCATAATATTTCAATGAAATTTATTCAAATAAGTATTATTCTTTAATGAACTTGCCTCGGCATAGAGTCATCATCAACAGATTGTCATAGAATTTTTTATTGACGACTGATCATTAATCAAAAAAAATTCATGTGTCACGTTATCTGACTAATTTTACTGTATTCTATTAGAATTGCTATTGTACGATATATTAATCATTCTAAACACAACAAATAGAAAAAAAAAATTCTATTCGATTTGATTTGGTACACTTTGATGTAGTTTCTAAAATAATAAATATTTTCATATTTTAATATATTTTTTTTTAATGTAATATATATGGAAAACTATCTAAAATAGTAGCTATTTACAACGGCAGTAAAGGCTGCGGCAATAAATCCTGTAATCCGAATGCAATGATAGGTTAAAGTTTTGGAGATTTTTCTGGTTCTGGAAAATATCTTTATAGATAAGATCAAGATGAAGTTTGAATATTCATCAACGAAATAAATCAGTTATATATCTTAAAAACAAAAACTATAGATTTTCATGTTTTTTTCGAAATACTTATTTCTTTTATAATATCAACAATAAACTATCAGTAACATATAATTATTGAAAAATATTTTTAATAGTAAAAGTAACCCCTGTTGCAAAAGTCGTGGTACAAAATGTTTGTTCATTTTTCCGCCACTTAGAAGTAGACCGAGAAGATGAAAAGTAGTCAATTAGAATTAGAATTTGGTGCTCTTTCAAAATGTGTATTCAGAAGTTTTTTTTAATTTGAAGTTGAATCATTGAGAGCAAATCTTTGATGGTGACCAAAAATGATGTTTGTACAGAATATTTTATCTAGTACATTTTGGTATTTTGATTGAAACCGTCTCGATTCAAATTTGTGGAAAGTACTTTTTATACACTAATTTGTAGAACAAAGCTTACTCTGCAAAATGTTCAATTTGCTTTGCTTTCAATATTTTATTTTGAAAAATATTTCTAGCTTTTGATTCTTTTGAGTTCTAACTTATTACAACCCCATGATTTTGTAGAACATTAAATTCTCTACAACAATAGGAAATAAAAACTGTCCTCAAATATCCTTTAGAGAAATTACGAATGAGAGAGAGAGAGGAAAGTCTATTTATGTAATACAAACGACATTTTTTTATAGATTTAGGTATTTGCTTACAACTAAATAGCAGTGAGTCAGAGGAAAATTCTAAAGATATATTTAGAAAGAGCATCAAATTTTGGTTCTAATCGACAACTTTCGATCCCCTTTAATTATATTTAAATGCCCGAAAAATCACCGAACATATTTACCAAGACTTTTGAAACTAGTGTTTTATACAAACATTATTTTTGGTCTCCATCAAAGATTTGCTCTCAATGATTCAACTTCAAATTAGAAAACACTTCTGAATACACATTTTGAAAGAACACCAAATTCTAATTCTAACTGACTACTTCTCATCTTCTCGAGCTACTTCTAAGTAGTGAAAAATTGAACAAACATTTTGTACCAAGACTTTTTCAACAAGGGTTATCATAATTATTGATTTAATAGTTTTCTAAATGGTTTTTTTTGCTAACAACAATGTAAGAAACTATTTTTCGGTACTAAATTCTGAGATTCTTTCGTTATTTATTTAAAGTGAGTAATATTATAAATGACTTGATAATTTTTAAATGTTTCCAGTTATTTTTAATGATAGTAATCAGATCGATTTGTTATTCTTTTTAATTAATGAGAGAAACTTTTATATATAATGACATAAAAAACGAATCAAACGTTGTTATAGTGTATAGATATCGATCTTTTAATGTGTTGATGATAAAAATCTTTATTAATTTCTCTCTCAATATAGCTATATATTTAGATACAATATGAGAAAACATTGAATTTTCTAAAAGACGTTTATCAATTCAAAAAAAGAAAATCTCTTTGTCATGAGTTATTCTAAAAAATATCAAAGAAATTTATTTCAATCATTTTAAATAAGAATAAAACGAAGAATTATAAAAATAGTTTTTATTTTTCATAAATATTATAAATATAAGATTAATTGATATTTTCCTCGTAATACATGATGAGTCAAATTTGAATAATAATTAGTAATGATGATAGCAAAACAAAAGTATTCATGCGTGCATTCAAATGTGTATATTTTCTCTCTCTCTTGAATCATATAGGCGTTGCCATTATTGCGTCGCAATCTATAAACGAATAGTCCCTACAATAAAATATCACACACATTTTCTCAAGCTTCTTCAATCACTTATAAACAAACGAACAAACAAGCAAGAGAAATATGGGTAAGTATTTATTGAAAAAGCTTCATATACTATTATTGATATAAATGAAACATTGACTTGATTATATTTAATATCGTCATTAGATTTCTTGAACAATCGTGTAGAAAAAGATGCTGGTATGGATTTAAATGGTGATGGATATATTGGAGGACAAGGTTAGGATTTCTTCATTCTGTTTTTTTCTTGACTCTATCTAAGGTAATAATTCATTTTGTTTTTAGGTATAGAAAGTAAAATCGAAAAAGCAACTCATGTTGACTTTAATGGTGATGGTATTATCGGTCGTCCTCTTGACACAATACCTGGTGGTGGCTATGGCGGTTATCCTCCTATGCAGTAGAATTCTGACAGTCTTTATTGATCATTTCAAAGTGAACTTTTTTCTAGTAAAACAAATTTTAGTGAAAAAAAAATTCCTAATGGATAAATTTTTTTTGTATTCTTACTTACATATGTTTATCATGTTATAATATTGGCTAATAAATCAATTATCTCTTTTCTTTAACAAAAATACCTATGAAAATAAAGTAGCACAGGAAATTTTTTTACCATTGGTTGTCGACACATTTAAATACAATTTATCACAGACTAATAAGAAATGAATGGCATGATAGATCTACAGGGTGGCGAAAAAGTCACGCACTCAAGGAAAAAATCGAATATCTCTGTTATGATTCCGAGCAAACGGGCAGACTTTTTGATCACTAATAAAGGTATGCTCCTATTCCACATCTATAAAGACAAGGCTAGAGAGATGTTTTGTTAAGTATCAATATTGGCTCGAACAAAACAACTTTACTTTATCACAGTTAAGAAAATAAAAGCAATATACTTAACAAAGGGTCTCCCTAGGCATATCTTTATGAATATAAAGCTTAAACGTACCTCTAGCATTAGTGAAAAAAATAGTTCATTTGCATAAGTCATAATGGAAATATCTAGTTTTTTTTTCAGTTAAATGACCTTTGTATCACCCTGTATACTGGTTTTCCCTATCTGTGAAAAAGTAAATGTTTTTTGTTGAAGTCAATATTAATATTTAACAAAGCATCTCTCTAACCTTATCTTTATGGATATACAGAGTGAACATACCTTTAT